TACCGGCATCAGCTCGGCACAGATCCGTGTTAGTGGCGGGCAGCTGGAAAGGCCGCGATGCCCCTGCTCAGTTGGCGAGAAACAAAGGTTCCTTCTAAAATCTAGAAGTCGTCATCAAACAAGAAAGAAACTGCATTTTGCGTCCAACAGCGCAAACACAGCTGAAAGCGCCACGCATTCTGATGAAGGAACTCTGAGTGCAACGCTTGCAAGCCAAGGTTCACCTGTTAGCTACAAATCATGGCATCCGCATTCAAGAGATCAAGCCTTTGGTCTGGCAAAGCCCTCCACAACCGACCCGAACGATTGATCTGCCTGCAATAGTTTCTTTGGGAGTATAGATCTACCCTATGCCAGCTGGCATATCACGACAAGTTGTTTCTTGAGCATCAAGACTTATATAAGAGTTTGGTCTCGTTTTTGATGGTTCCCTTCATCCGCAGAGAAGTGTGGCAATCACAATGTTCATACATGCTGTGAATTGTACACACACAGAATAGCAGCCCTCGCAAGATGTTTTTAAGAGTGTGCTCAATAAATTTTGAGACCGTGTGTTTAGGAGCAGAGTGTTGAATTGTTCTTGCGCAGGGTGAAGTGGAAGGTTTTGATGAAAGTATCTGCATGTGGAGAGGGCATTCTAAGGCAATGCATATCCCTCCCCACCTGACGAGCGAACTGAGAAAGATGCGCATTGCGACAGCGTGCCCAGCGAGCCGCATGGCCAGCCCTCAGCGGAAAATTGAGCAAGAGCAATTGGACCACTAAAAGTGGACCATGCATATAGAATGCCAAGCGCGCTGCCAGTGTACCATGGGTACCTGCAGCCCAGCGACTTAACTCTCTGCCACCATGTATGCATGTCTGAGTTTCCATTTTCTCTTCACGTTGCTTCCACATGCCTCTGGATCTGTTCCGGCAACTCGCAGTGGACCCTTGAGCCCTTCACATCACAACGCAGCTCAGTACATGCAATGAGGCCACTCTGCTTAGCCTGAAAAGAAATAAAAAGACAAAAGCACCTTTTTGTTTCAGCGATCTTCAGCGGACTATTTCAAGGCAGGCTCCCACTGGTCTTTCTGGAGGGGATGAACTGCAACTGGGTGTCAACCCAACTATGCTTGAGCCATGCGGCAGCCTGCCTATTAACATTAACATGCACCTGTTGTGCAAAGGACCGCAAGCCAGGTGGTAAATTTTGGAGTGAAAAATACCGCACCAAAATTGCGAGCACGTTCACCTGCGCTGTGACACGAGTCCTGCATCATGTAGGCCGGAACATTGCCAAGTCGAAGTGAAGGCTTGTCACAAGTCCAAAACTGTTCAAAGCAGAGGTCATAGTGAAGTATAGAGAAAAGTATCTATGTTGTCACACATCAATCCTGGCCTTTCTGACTTGCTGAGATCAATGCAAACCTCAAAGAGATGTCCCTTTGGAGCCCCTTTGTCGCTTTTCGCGCTTGCATCTTCTTTCCCTTCTGTTTGTACAATTGTTCCTTTTGTTCTTGAGCTGAGACCATATTTTAATCTTTTGATGTTCTGCCAAGAACATGTGAAGGATCCAGGCTCTTGGAACGCCAAGTCACGGCACTGTTCAAAGCAGCGTTGACTGCCTCCGAGCTCTTTCAGGGTTCACAGTCCAAAACAAGTTCTCTACACTCTACACGGGTGAGTTCTTAGCTACTCTGGCGTTTCGCAGTCCAAGCTGACTTGGGGCTGTGCCACGTTCATGCGGGACATTGCCGGGCCCTTCTGAGGAGCCTGGGCTCCCAAGTTCGTGTCAGAAAAGTCTTCCACGCCGCAAAAATATTCCTGTTTCTAAGACAAAAACGATCAGGCCTTGACCTTTGTGACAAAAGAAGGTCCTGCGCGGCTTCTGTCAAATCAAAATGGCCCTATGCACAGACTCAAGAACAATAACAGAACCCCCAATAAGAGGGACTGCTGTGAACGCGAATCACCTTGCCGCAAACCATTCAATTTTCGCTGAAATTATTCATCAAGCAAGAGGAAAAATGACTCTACATGGACAGGGTGAAAAAAGAGAATGGGGTCCAAACTGTGCTGGTTTAGCGGTGCTGCTCGGGCTGCGGGGTTTCCCCCAATAAAACGGTCAAAGTCCATGTCTATGTCTATGTTTTCGTTTTTACCGTTCTGCCCGGGTCTGTCGCCTAGTTCATTTTAACCACACGCGCAGTTAAACATGAAAACGTTTATGTCTTAGCGCTTTGAACACGTCTATGGACACGGCAGAAATCGAAAAAGATCGCCGGTTTACCTGGGTTTCACAGCTCGAAATGTTTACCGCATGCGTTGTGAAAAGGGTCGGTATTGTATTTACCGCATCCGGAATCAAATATGGTTCTTCTTGGGCAAGTTTTTGTCGTTTTCAAGAGGCGAGGCTCAGTGGAAGCAAATCGATGCGTTTGATCCAAATCCTGGCCACGAAACTGTAAGAATTGTTTCTTGTTACTAGTAGCGATGCACTTATTGGCTACATGCCCTTGTTCTCAGTAGCGATGCCCTTAGCTACTAGTAGCTTCTTGCTATAGTAGTAATGCCCTTGTTCCTAGTAGCGATGTACTTAGCTACTAGTAGTTTCTTGCTACTAGTGGTAGTGCGCTTGTTCCTAGTAGCAATGCACTTAGCAAGGTTCTTGCCACTAGTAGCTAATGCCCTTGTTCCTAGTGCGATGCACTTAGCTAAACTATCAAGTCAAGCTCACGTGTTTCTCTGCTGCGGGCTGGATACACAGTGCCTTCACGGCATGAATCAACCACCAGCGCCGCTGTGGGTGGGGATGGGAGGGTGCCTTGAGCACAGCGGTGCTCCCCTTCACGGCATGAATCTAGCCTCAAAGGCTCATCACCTAGAAGTGGCACCAAGCAACTGGAGGGATTCTGCATCTTCACAAAGCTTCCGGGGAACAATGCATCATACCGAAGTACATGACCTCTAAGTTCAACTTCAAGAAGAATTTAACAGCGCCTATCTCCTGTATATATATATATATATTTCCATCACCCTGCTGTTGCTCCAACGACCACGCCGTCTGACAAACTCACTATTCCCTGCGCGCTGCAGCTGCCATGTCGCACCGCCAGGTAAGACCCGGCGTCCAAAGTTTTGGAACTTTGAAGGACTCCAGATTGCAGCCGCAACGCACAGAGAATGTTCCTGAACCGAAAACGAAAAGTTTGCGCAGGAAAAGGCCAAAGACGTTGGTGAGGACGCAAGTGAGAAAAAAGCCTATTCAACAACCCTGAGAGGATCACAGATGTCCAATTTGGCACAAGAATGTCTAATCTTGCTTTGGGGTCGTGAATCTCCAGCAATGCGAAATCGTTCGTACCCAATGTATCCGACGGCAACAAAAGCTCACGGCGCACTGCGCCAGATTGCTCTCCTGTTCTCAGCCGAGAGAAAGTAGCCCGGCAACCTCAGCCCATCCCCAACTCAGCGCTATCGAGGCCATGGCGAGGAGTATTTGCCAAGGAACCGCAATGTGGTGAGTCGGTCGGTCGCTCTTCACGGACCCACGCAAAAGCTAAGTTCCAGGAGGGTTGCAAATGGCGTCTCAGGATCGGCTTCAGAGCGCTCACACTATTGATGGACTCGACCAAGATGTTGTAAGTCCGGCCGGCTTCAGGAAGCTTCCGACCGTAGAGCAAGAGTACATCATTGATCTTTGCAACACACTTTCCAGGCTCACTAAGGAAGGTAATGATAAATGTAAACATTGCTGGCTTCACACCAAGCCAAAAGAACATCCCTCAAAAACTTTCCACGCTTTGAAGAAGTAGTATAGTCGTCACTGGGAGCCCAACCAGGAGAGGAGGCCTCTGCCTTCTCAGTTCAACTCGACTCCAGTCACCAGGTGTACGAGGGTGAATCACCCCATGCGCTACGCTACACCTACACGCCCCGAGGAAGAGAAGAAGCGAGGGAGAGGCGAAGCAAAAGAAGAGACCAGGAGGCAATGGAGTGTGAGAGTTCCAACAAAAAACAATTTGATCCATTTCGAAGCCCACCTCCTGGGGGGCAGAATTGAAAGCAGGCCATCAGCATCAGACTCAGTAGGCATATCAAGACGAAGAGCCCCAACAGCTTCACGCACCTCTCTCTCTCTGGCAGGGTATAGGCACGAACGGAAGGGCAAAGTAGATCCCAGCTGCCAGGCACATCTTTGAGGAGCGGGGTGAGCGCCTCTCCAGAAGGCCTCCCTTTCGAAGCTGAGCGTCAAATGACATTGGAGTCCACAAAATCACAACCCTGACTGACGTAGGGGGTCTGCATCATACGTCCAGCAAGCTTCAAAAAGCTCTTCATTTTGAGCAAGTTGGTGTGACAGGGACATCTGAAACGCCAACTCTCAACCTCCTCCCAACTAGACGCAGAAGGCACAAGACTGACGAGCTGTTTTTCCAAGCCAGCAGCCTTGACTGTGTCATTGGCCAAGAAAGCTCCTCTCCGTTCAAGGATAGCTGAGGCCGAGGCCTTGGTGTACTTGCCCTCCACGATGAGGCGAGAATGATCCCGAAAGCAACGGCGAGCTAAGGGTCGCAAATTGACGAAAGATGCCAAAAACCTAAAGGTCTTTTGACGAGGAGAGTCAGACCTCACAACGGATACGCGCTCCTTTTGCACAAGCCTCTTCCAGGCATTGAAGCTCCTCATCATCGAAGCCCAAGGCTGTTCAAGAATCCTCGGAAGACCAAGCATATGGGCGACATAGATCAAAGTCTGTGCCCTCAACGCAAGTCCGTTCCCAAGACGGGTCTTGGGACACAGAGGATCAAATCCCATGGGAAGCATCTTCGATCTCAGAGCTGGGCATCTCATTATCGAAAGAACCGAAAATCCCACTCTCAAGATTTTCTGAAACGATGATGTGTACAACCGGAGGGCCCACAACCATGCCAAGGTCACGAGGAGCATCTGACACACGAGCTGAACGAGCGTAAACCTTGATGACGTCATAGCGAATGGCAGGAGGCCTCGAGACTGGAGCGCTTGGAATCTCGACCAAGCCCTCAAAGTCAGGGTGGCCCTCACCAACTCCATCTTCTACAGGCCAAGACGTTCCATCACGATCTGGAAAGGAGTCTTTAGGCGAGAATAGGCACCCTTTGTCTTGCAGTGCCTGCAGAGCTTCTCGACCAGATTGCACCCATGTTGTCAGAAGCATCAGTTGAGAAGACCTCAGAGTGAAAAGGAGCGCCAATGTCTGAAAAAGCCAAAGGAGCAAACACAGCTGGAACGAGCGTAGGGCGCTCACTGTCAATCTCGTTGGCGTCGACAAGTTTGTGGGCGTGGTTGAGGATACTCATGAGCGGTCTCCGATACAGCAACATTGATGTCCACCCTCCAACTACGCAGAGACGCAGAGCGTCAGCAGTATGAGACAACTGGCAGGTCTGTAGTGTGATCCAGCTCAATCCAAGGCACAGCATTCGATTTTGCCTTCTCAAGGTCATTGCATTGGCTGCTCCCAAACTCTCCTCAGTTTCTGGAAGTGCTCGTGAACACATTGTGAGGGCCTGGCGGGCAGGCTTTTCGGCTTCGCGATCGATGCTAGATCACAATGCCTCAGGATTTTGCCACAGACAATATCTTATTTTTACCATCAGTTCTGGGTGTCTGACGCAGGCAACTAAAGGGAGAAACCCTCCCACCACTTCACTTACATCTAAAAGCACAGGAGTTAAATCATGTTGTTACAATATTGAACGCAAGCTTTGTTTAGCACGCTTTACCAACATGCCTCGTTTGAATATCTGCGCGCGTTAACGTCGTCAACTGCCCTCATTCTTTTTTACCGTTTTTCACGGGTCGCTGCGGACCAATTTGCTTTTTAACAATTTTCTCTTCGGGGCGCAAGCGAGTGCCACATAGCAAGACAATGCGCGCGAACCAGCTTAGGGCCCTCAGAAAGGATGCGATCAGTGTGCAAAAATAATAGTAGATCGGAGGAAGGAACGAGAGCAGCAGTAGGGCTAGAAGCGGGAACAGCAACGGAGCCCGACATCCGACCTTAGAAGTGGCAATATAGAAACGCCATCAGCAAAGTCTGTCACAATGGTTGGGCAGTGTGGGAGAAATGCACCGTGCGCAGTGTTGTGGCCCATGCTTTGCACATGGAACGGTCAAAAGGGCACGGGGAAAGTGTTTCACAAACTTGGAGTCTGCAACATTAGTGTCTATTAGTCGGGCAACCTCTCCACTCATGTCTACGATACATATATATATATATACATGTATGTACATTTTTGTTGAACCAAAGTGAGCTTCATCTTTATGAAAGATGTATTCGCACTTGTGAGCGCTTTCATGGTTCCGCTTTGCTCTCTTTCAAGTCCTCCAGCTCTTGGCGTTCAAGACAATGGTCGTAGGAAACACCCACTGATCTGAGCCTGACAAATCGTTGGCACTGTTTTCATGCCTTCCACCCACTTCTGCGTGGCCTCCTCTGGAGCTCTGCTAGAGGCAACGCCTGCACCTCCCCGTGAGTAAGACCTGGCAATACTAAAGAACTCAAGAAGTCTGACCCCTGCAATCTGCATGGCCTGCGCATCTTCTTTCAGAAGTCCCTGGCTGCTGCACAGCAGGCCCTCTCCTTCACCAAGCATTTTTCAAGCATTCAAGTTAAAACATGGCCACCCTCGGCCTCACTTTTTCTCTGTAGACACACATTAGACGGCAAAGGACTTAAAAAGCTCCGCGACTGGGATCGGCTAATAGCAGTCTGCTTTCTCTCTTGCGCCGCTTGTGCCTGGGCTGAGTCGGCGCTGTTGGGCTTGAAGCCTCGGACATCACAGGCCCAAGCAAACCAGAAGCCATGCACTGGACCTGAAGCTGCTAAAGCAGCTGATGGTCTATACGCACATAATGCGTACAAGTACAACTGCAACAGTTCTGCCAAGAGAACGTCAAGAATGGCTTCCACCAGCTCTGCCTGCAGGGCCACACATTTCATGGACAACCGGAAGGACCATCAGGATTTCTCTGGGGCGACACTCTTCTAAGACACTCTTGTAGAAAACTTGGTGCGACATTTTCGTTTGGGACTCTTATGTGACACTCTTGTAGGACTGTTGCCGCGCAACCTTGTAGGAATCTCTTGTGGGACACTCCAGTGGAGCACGGGGCACGCTTGTCCGACACGTTTGCGTGCCACTTTTGCTTGACACTCTTTTGCGACACTGTTAGGGCACTCTGCGCAATTTTATGGGACACTCTTGTAGGCCATTCCTGCAGGACATTCGTGTGGGACACTCTCGTTGGACACTCTTGCAGGAGAAAGCCTCAGCAAAGCGAACACATAACGCAGCCTTGAGCCTTGTGAAGCACGTTCGCAATCCAAGCCCCTCCAACGCCAGCGACAGTCACCTGGCCAAACGTCGCAACCTCACGACTCCCCGCCCCTGCCACACAAACTGCATCCTAGCACCTCCAACGCGTACAAAGCACTGCGTCTGCCACAAAAAGTAACAATGCCACACCTTGGCATGTCTAGCAAAACTTGCACCACACCACACGCTTGGAATATTTGTCCAACCCTTTGCTGTTTCACCCAGATCCCTCAAAATCGCAGATTTGGCCGAGACTTGACAGGAGAATACCGCTTCGAAGGAGGCGCTTCAAAAGCAAATCCCGATGGCACAGTAGCACAGTGACATTCAACGCCTCCAAAAGACTACCCAACTCAATGGAAGGGCGACGCAGTGCTGACCTCACGGAACACTGCATCTGCTCAGCAAAATCGTCCTTCACACTTGAACACGTTACGTTTCTGCGCTATTCCACAGGAATCTGACACTTCATGCTCCCATCCAAGATCATCTCCAAAAGCTTGCCCCAACGGGAGGGCCTTTTCTTCACATTCATCCGCTTGCTGCAAACGGTTGCGGAGGGTTGCAAACATGAAAGCAACGTCAACGTCACCGAAACACAGCTCTACCCCATACACCCAGAATTAAGCGAGAACCCTTGGCGCTAAAAAAGTGTTGTTCATGGATCTATATTTAATGTTGTTCTCTGACATCCCATGTTTGTCCTTCTCCAACGGAACAGGTCCATGTGGGAGCTTGCGCTTGAGCTCAGCGACTGGAAGCTGGAGCAACCGAGCTCGCCTGGAGAGCAAGGTTTGCGATGATTCGTTCAGTTTTTCTACATCTCTGAAAAGAGGAAGTCGGTGAAGGGATGGGGATGTGAAGGCGGGGAGTTGATAGATAGATCTAGGATCTAGACTAGGTGGTGACAGGAACACTCAAGGTTCTTTAAGGAAGCAAGAAACAAGTAGTTACTAAGTAGTTTTGTCCCAACTCACAAATGCATTCATAGATGCATGTTTCAATATGGGTCGTTTGTTTCAGAAAGAACAGTTGTCAGTTCCAACTCATTGCTGCCACAATGCTCGCATAGTCGCTGAAATCGTCTCTTCCCAAAAGACCGCTTCAACTCGTCAAGCAGGCAGTCACAAAAACCTCATTCAGAAAGATCGTCTTGTCTTCGGCTTCTCCCAGCATCACCAACCAGCACATGTCCCCCGTCAAAAGTTTATGATATAACTGTTGTTTGTAATGTGTGCAACACACAGATTGTCAATCCATGCCACTTCTCACGGCTCTGGGTGTTTGTTTGTCTCGATTTCTGCAGACAATTCTCCGATCATAGCCTTTGAGAGCTTGTTTAAATAGAGCACTTTACAAGTGAATCACGTGTCCCAAAGGCCTGTTGCGAGTATGTGAATGTGGACGAACACAAGAATGTGTGTGTATATATAGATATAGATATATATATATATAGATGTATATATACATACATATGATATATATATATATACATATATACGCGTACGAGACTCATTTTAAAAAGATATCAGCAAGAGACCCCAAACAGTGTGTGTGTGAGGCAGAGGTCTAGAGGTGTAGCAGCAGAAAGTCCAAAGATCTACCTGATTGGGGTCCAGGTGATGGTGGCGATGAAGGTGGGGATCGTGGTGATGGTGGTGGTCGTGGTGTGTGGGTGTGTGTGTGTGTGAGAGTGAGAGTGAGGAGTGAGAGTGAATGAGAGTGAGAGTGAGAGCGCAGTGAGTGTGAGAGTGAGAGTGACAGTGAGAGTGAGAGTGGGAGTGGGAGTGGGAGTGAGAAGTGGGGGTGAGAGTGAGAGTGAGCATGAGCGTGAGGGTGCGGGTGCAGGCGCGAGTGCGAGTGAGAGAGAGAGAGAAAGACTGTGTGAGAGAGAGAGAGAGACAGTGTGAGAGAGAGAGAGAGTGAAAGAGTGAGAGAGTGACAGTGAGAGAGTGACAGTGACAGAGTGAGAGAGTGAGAGTGGGACTGAGAGTGAGGGTGAGAGAGAGTGCGAGTGAGAGTGACAGTGAGAGTGTGAGTGAGAGTGAGTCAGAGGGAGTGAGAAGTGAATAAGAGAATGAGAAAATGAGAGAGTGAGTGTGAGCGTGACCCTGAGCGTGTGTGAGTGTGAGTATGATTGAGAGTGAGAGTGGGAGTGAGCGAGCATCTGAGAGCACAAAGAGCTGCGCCTGCCATGAAATCTGCTTCGAGGTTCGCAAAGTGCTGCGCCTGCCACGTCTGCACTTCGAGGTCCACAAAGTGCTGTCCCTGCCACGAAACCTGCACTTCGAGGTCCACAAAGTACTGCACCTGCCACGAAATCTGCACTTCAAGGTTCACAAAGTGCTGCACCTGCCACGATTTCTGAAAACGAGCCACATGTAGAAAAGTCACGGTTCGCTGCACCTGTCACGATATTGAGAGCACGTCCAAGATCCCAAGTGCTGCACCTGCCTGAAATCTCCACATCGAAGTCAAGCCACTCCGATCCCTGACACGTGTCACCTGTCACGACAAGTCGGCCTTGGACCACCAAAAGACGAGGTTTCCCTTGCGCCTGCCACGAAAAGTGACCATCATGCCCGAAAACGCGCGCGGCACCACAACGAGAGCGCAGTCGCGACAAGCACTCACCACGGCCCACCAGATTTTGCGAGCCTGCGCAGTCGAAATGCACTTCGAAGATTTCCAGAGGCATGAATGTACAGTACTGTAAATAGCAGCGAATTAGCCGGACGCCCCGGTGCAACACCTTGATTAGACACCGGAATAATATTAATAAAATAGAATAAAGCGCCAGGAAACTACCCCTCTTTGTTTTTGAATACCTCGAACAATCTTGCCTCAAAACATTCAGAGGGTCAGCCTGTTCGTGATGCACATGCGAAAGAGATTCTGCCCAAGTGGCCATCGGGCCTCTCACAGAAAAGCCTTGGCTTTGAAGTTTCGACTGAAAAGTCAAACAAGCAGAGTCAGGCCAGGGAAGTTCTTGCAATGCACCATGAGAATTCTAACGCAGGAGGCTGATATGTTGCTGCATGTCAGGCTTTCAATGTGTATGTCTCGGGAAAGCGTGTGAACAATTTCAAGCTCCATCAAGTCGTCAATCTGGAGACATGTTGCTGTTGACAGGAAAAACACTGAACACACCCACAAAGCCCTTGTCATGCGTTTGGCAAGCTAGGTGGCTTCTGGGTGACCGGTCTCATTTCTCCTCGCACCTCAGTAATTGGGAGCAACTTGAAGAGGGTGTACAAGAAAGTGGAGCTGAAAGGAACATGTAAAAGTTGATGTGGCAATCCACAACTTTTCTTGGGTCTCCTAGCTGTTACACCACCCACACAGAACACAGGCCGCTTCAGGAGTCTTTTGCAGCTTGCTGCATTCACTATCATGAGTCCAGGCTCCCAACCTCGTGATCGCACAGCCCCACAAAGAATTTTCAGCCCAAGGGGAGACATATCTTTCCGATGGACCGTTATTACTACTGTGGCTCATTGGTAACAAGGGGCAGAGAGTCTAAAGAAAGTTATATAACTATTCTTGGTCGATCAAAACAAAGGGGAGTTATGGATTTGTCAAGAGATCGAACCGTGCGAACCCCTCCTTCCCAAGAAAAGTCAAGAGTAGCCCTTCCCAAGCTATGTCGTAGCCATCTTGGCTTCACAAAGGTTAGCATAGAACAGTCTAAACAACATATCACCGCAACTCTTTCAGAGGTTGCATCTCGAGACCGGTTCAAAAAGCTTGCTTGGTGTAATCCCCAGCAATCCTGCGCATTGGATTCTTTCTTCACACTCTTCGGAGCTTGCGCTAAGTGGCGCTAAACCTGTCATCTTGGTTCGCCGGTCCTAGCCCGGAAACAAACATGACTTGAGATTCTATCCTTCAGGGAGCAAGGCAACTCTGGCAGCAGGGTGGCGCACCTCAGTATAGTTTAAATCACCAATGTGAAGGTGAAGGTCATCTTTCAGCCCATCCAAATTATAGGGCTTTCATTGTCATCAGTCATGAGTATTGATATCTCTCAGGAGCAAGATGTTTAAGGCTTCCAACAACCACGACTCGAAGGACCCAACGCAATAATTGTACTCCTACTAACTACTTTGCATGGTTTGCATAGTTGCATGTGTACAAAAAAAAATTGGCGAGCCTTTGGCCACTTTGGCCTTCAAAAAAAGAACAACAACTCCTCGTGCACTTTCAAAATATTCACAAGTTGGAAAAAAAGAAACGATCACAGCTTTTGGGCGCTTCACTTTGCCTCAGTGAAATCGTCTTTCATGGCCGCAAGGATTCTTGCAGTTCTAAGTCCTAGGATTCGGCGCGAAAGGAGGTCGAGTCAAAGGACCATTGATTTCAATCAGGATTCAGACCTTCACACAGTCCTATTCTGTGGGACCAATTTTGTGCTTCAAGCTTCTACTTTCAGCGCATCCAAGTCCCACTGTCCATTGACCATGTAGTCCTCCTGTGTGAAAATGATGAGGATGTTTGAATGAGAGGGATTCATCCAACTAGAGCTGGGATCTAGATCAATCTAGGGGTCTCACCAGCCTGGAGAGCTGCTGGTGACAGGCTCCTCACACGCTGAAACAGGAGCTCCCCATTCTCTGCCTGAACAAACTTTGGTGGTGCTGAGCCTTGTCGCAATGAGAGAAGCCAGCCTGGCCACTTGATCCAGGATGGGCATGGCTTGCCTTGCGCTAAGAAACATTCACAAACAAAGGATAATGACAAGTATTCAATGAACAGAGTTTCGATTGATCCTTTCGATGGAACAGCTCTGAGGCTATGTTATGTCCGACCTCCAGCTTCTTTTTTGCTCGTTCCTGGCACAAAGGCAAACGTCAACGCTTTGACAACTTCAACAAAAGCGTTGCAGGGCACTTGACAACTGTGTCCCAAATTTGTTCACAACACTGATCGTCCTTGGCCAAGCGCAGATCATCCTGAAGGCCTTCAATGTCCCACTGTCCGGTGTCTGCGTCAAAGTAATCCTCCTGTGAAATACAGGACACTTCATTTTCAGGACAAAGATAGAGAGGAAACATAAAGCAAGTCAAGAAAGAACAGATTCAGTTGATTCGAAGAGCATCTTCCACGAATGAAGGGTTCGTCCTTGGTAAACGAGTCATCGAAAACGCGCAACTCTGCCAGGAGCCCAGTACCATCTTCACCATCTTCGACTGCTCCAAGAGAAGCCTCACAAAGAATGTTGTTTTGATTTGTACGGGCAATCACAGTAGTAACTAAAACGCAAAATCGATCACATTTGCAATCGATACAAACGAAGTGCGCAAACATCGAACACTGCAACCTGCATGGAAACAGGCGTTGCCTGCGCTAGTCTCAAGTCGTCTTGAAGTCCCTCCATATCCCAAGCCCCCGTCACGGCGTCGAAGTAGTCCTCCTGCATTCTTCATTGAGAATGTGGCATTTGGACTTGTGTGCACATCTTCCATTCATTCAATGCCGCACACTTGCACAACATGAGTTTCCTTGGAGATCGTACTATCAATACTTCGCAGCTCAGCAAGTAGGGAATCTGCTTGATTACTGGGATCTGACGTAGTTGCACGCACCTTCCCCTCGCAACAACTAAGAAACAAGCATGTCAAAATAGATTGCGTATGCAATTAAATCACTTTCTGAAGTACAGTACGCAAGCTCTCAACAACACAGTAAGACAAAAAAAGGCTCTGTCTTCCCATAAGACCTTGGCAAGCCGTAGGTCGTCCTGCAGCCCATCCATGTCCCAGACACCAGAAGCAGCATCGAAGTAATCTTCCTGCAGCTCCAGTTTACAAATATTGCGCACATCTTGCCTCATAAGAACTTTGGCGGGTCAAGGGTCAATCTCTAACTATACAGCAGAGGCTCCTTGCTAGCTTCCCCATCCAAGGCCAGCAGCTGCACTAAAAGAACCTCTGCCTCATCTCCACCTGCTGCTTCAGCCGGAGGTTTTGCAGGTTCTGCTGCCGGCAAAGGAGCTGATGCCGGAGCACCGGCCTGAAGGTTGACTATTTCATTTCAAGGCTACAGTATTCAGAATTCTGTCACAAACGCCCCGGGGCCTTTGCTGCTTTGGCGAGGCCCAGGTCATCCATCAGTCCATCTATGTCCCAAGTGCCAGAAGCAGAATCGAAGTAATCCTCCTGAATCATCTAAATTACAGTTTCTGCTCACGAGTTGTGACTGAAAAGCAATTTCTGCTAGGTTCGCATTTGACAGCGAGAAGAACTCCCACTTCATACAACATGGACTCCTTGCTTGCTGCACCGTCCAGGGCCAGCAGCTCTACAAAAAGAGCCTCTGCCTCATCTCCACCTGCTGCTTCAGCCAGAGATGTTGCAGGTTCTGCTGCTGGCAGCGGAGCTGATGGCGGAGCAGATGCCTGAACACAAGTTGAATTTCGAGCACTTCAGCCTGTTGTTCCGACATGTGATAACCCTGCCGTGGCTCTTCATTTTCCCTATATATAGTGTGTAAGGTGTAAGGTCTATACTTGCAGACATGTACTTAGAACATCAAGTTTTCCAAAGCCCAATGCCCTTTACTTAGAATCTTAGAATATATCGGCTTTTAGAGTTTCCAGGTATCTGCACAACGAAGTAACACCGCTCCGATCTCCTGCGCCCGCCACGAAAAGTCGACTTTGGACCACACAAAACACGGGCTGCCCTTGCGCCTGCCACGAAAACTGACCATCAATCAAGTCCGAAAATGCACACGGCACCACAACGAGAGCACAATCGAGAAGAGCACCCACGCCAGCCCAACATTTTCTGCCTGCCTGCGCAGTCGAAATGCGCTTCGAAGATCTCGAGGTGAATGAATGTACTGTAAATAGCAGCGAATTACGCACCCACGCCGATGACAACCACCGATGAGAACCCGGCCTTAAAACCTACCGTAAGGACCCCCGTTGTTGCCTTGGGGCAAAACAACCATCTTTTGGAGACATGCTCTGAGTTCTCGTCTGTCCCACAAATACAGGTAGTTTGCTTTTGCCTGTCTTCTTTGATTGTGCTTTGACTCAGTCAACATTGCAAGTGCAAGTGTTGCTGCGTGTTTCTTGAAGAACTCAGGACACCTTCACGGACGCAGCGAGCTTATGATGTTGGCATTGCATTGACACTACATGCAAGAGTGATTTTTTGGCACAGGCGTTGTCGCAATTTCGGCCTTCTCTTTGGCCAAGCGCAGGTCGTCCATCACCCCATCTAGGTCCCAATTGCCCGATGCATCAAAATAATCCTCCTGAAACCACCAATTCGTTGGTTCAGTGTCGCATGTCAAACGAATAGCTCACGGCACCAGCTTTGTCCTCTAAAATTTGGACCATGCTGTTCTCAGATTTTGAAAAGCGCTTGGGCAACAGCACCCGGCACACGTAGGAACGAATGAAACGGATCATGTACGAACACAAACATTTTGGAACACAGACTCCGCACAACATCTCGGAAAGCGCTGACTTGCAACCAGTTGGAGATTATTTTGCAACACATACCTATTCGCAACCACCCCACCGCGGCTTAAAGAAACGATTTTGATACACACGCCTTGCACCACACAAGGTGGTGCGGGGTGGTGCATAGGGGGGTAGGGGGTTGGCGGTGCCTTTCTTGCAGTCACCCAACATACCACTAGCTGTGCCAACAAAGAACTGCTGTACTCGACCCATACACGAGAAAAATGATAGCATGAATGTGTCTGTCGTGAGAGGCACCACACACTGGATGGAAACACGCTGGCTGAAAAACAGAAAGCACTGGAAACCTGTCAAGCCTTTTTGCACGCTCCAATTTCATCCACCAAGGAAAGGAAGGAATGTACGAGGAAACAGGGTGGAACACAAGGTGTGGGTTCGCAACTGATTTCAATGCCTTCTTTCTGAAACGATCCAAAATCCGCGTTCGAATATGAGCCGGCGACAGGGTCTACGACAATAATAACTTCACGCACTTCTGAACCACCAAAGCACAGGAGCTTTGGAATGCGTGTGCAACAGCATGCGGGAGGCTAAGACGCTAAGCACCATCAAGGTTTTGTGGACTCCTTGCTTGCTGCACCGTCCAGGGCAAGCAGCTCTCCAAAAAGAGCCTCTGCCTCATCTCCACCTGCTGCTTCAGCCGGAGGT